TATAATACTTACATTACTTATTTATTACTTTCTTATATTTTTGTGAAAATTAAGAGAATGGATCCACTGACAGCATTTTTTTGAGGGCCAAAACCCAGGTTCTGGGCTTGAAGAGAGCAGCAGGCAGTAACATAAAGGCTTTTTTTTCCTTTTTTTTCCATTAAAGGGGCTTAGGAAGCAGGGGTGAAAGGATCTCAGGGGGTTATAGAATCCATCTGCTTGTCAGTGTTAAAGAATGGAGAAAGCTGGTTGCTTTTTTGCTTTGCAGAAAGTGATTTGCTTTTGTTTAGCATGGTGAGGTTGTCTCAATCAAAGCCAGATTGTTTTGCTAGTAAGGATATCTTTGGAGCATCTGTTGTCTGCATCCCTCTGCTCTTGTCATCCAGATGTAATTTACAGTCCATACAATCATAGTATGGCTTGGGTTGGAAGGGAACACAATGATCATCAAGTCTGAACTCCCTGAATGGCTTTGGTTGGAGAGGACCTCAGCGATCATCTAGTTCCATTTTCCGTGTGTTTCAACGCTGGGTTTCGGCTGGCGGAGCTTCCAAAAAGCCCATTAATTGGGGAAAACCCAGTAAATCAGGAAATTAGCACCTGAACAAGGGATGGGGCATGGTTCCAGGGTGAGCACCACGAGGGATGCTGCCAGAAGGAGGCACAGCACATCCTTTCCCACCGCATCTTGAGCTCAGCAGGTCGTGACATTGCCTCTGGGACAGAGCCACGTGCCAGGTAAATGGGCAAAAAAAAAATCCACAGAGCCAAAGGGAGAAAATTCCTCAAGCATTATCTCATCACGGAGCTGCAATTGAACCGTATTTGGACAATCTGTGTGCATCCAGCATCCAGCGTCGGTTTCCCGAATGCAGAGCTCCGGACGCACGGATCCTGTGGCCACTTGACGAACTTCCTGTGGCTTTACCAAAACTCACTGCATTGCCTGGAAATTCCAGCAAAACAATTGCCAGAGCAGCCCAACAGCTGGCTGCTTTCCTCCTTCCTGCTGCCGTCATCCAAGGGCAGCCCAAGCAGCACAAACGCTGGGTTAGCCTGGATAAAAAAGCAACAGTGTTTGTTTTGTTGTGTTATTATTATTTATTTCACCTTTTTTTTGGTCTTTTTTTCCTGGAATTTGCAAGATCTGCCTCAGCAACAGCATGGAGCTGATGTAAGCTCAGCAATGGGAGCTTCTGCTGACCTATTTTCTGCATCTTTCTGCACCAGCAGCACTGAAAACCTTCTCCCATCTAAAGGTGCGCTTTGAAGGTCACAGTGTCTGCTCAACCAACCGAAAAGCATCCCAGAAACTCACCGAATAGCACAGCACTGCTGGTGAAGCTGCCTTGGTTTTTTTTTCTTCCATTTATTATTTGTTTGAAGACTTTTAGACCTTTCTGCTCGCTGATCTCTTCACTGTATTTCCACACTGAGGGGGTTAAATCTCAGCGCTCAGCATCGTCTAACCGAGGAGCAAAGCCAGGGAATTTTGATTCCTGTTCAAAAAGCATCAAATTCTCTCTTGAAGGGAGGGAAATGGGGATCAAAGGTCCAGAATGGCTCCTGCTGGGAGTCCAGTTGGATTTCTTGCTTGCGCATGCACCAACGACCAGCGTGCAGCCAAAATGGGGAAAATGAGCAGCTTTTGTTCCATCTGACAAGAGGTTTTATGGCATTGGTGACCCAGCTGCAGTCCCACGTTGGGCAGCATCCTCCTGGACGAGCATTGCTGCTGTTTCAGGTTGGAAAGCTTCTCCAAAAGAGTGGTCAAGCACTGGCACAGCTGCCCAGAGAGTGGTGCAGTCACCGTCCCTGGAGGTGTTTAAGAGCACGGGGATGTGGAGCTGAGGGATGTGGTCAGTGGGCACGGTGGGATGGGCTGGGCTTGGGGATCTCTGTGCTCTTTTCCAACCTTAATGACTCTGTTGTGGTGGCGATGGCTTGCTGGTTGGACTAGGTGGTCTTTTCCAGGCTTAATGATTCTAAGGGACATCAAAGATCATCTTGTTCCAACCAGGGCTATGATGTGGATGAGAGCTTCCCTCCAGCCTGCTGGCTGCGCATCGCTGTCTCCCTGCTGGTGTCAAAGTGCCCAGAAAGGGGAAAGTCTGGAAGTCATCCCACTAAGCACACACAATGAATAACATTTATGTTGTGGATTTATCGCATGGAAGAACACCCTGCTCCGCAGCTGACACCAACCTCGGGAATGTTTTGCATTCATTTTAACTTCCACCCAAGTTAACAGCCGAGCTTTTGGGTCAACCTGTGTGAAACACTTTGTGGATTTGTGCCAATGCCTTTGGAACAGGAGATGTGTGCCTGTTACCCAGCCAACCAGATGTGCTGTTGACCCCAAAACCAGCCCTCCACCTGGGCTAAACTTAATAGAATGCTCAATGCTCGCATGGCCCATTTATGCAGTGGTAAAAATTAATAATAATTAAAAAAAAAATACATCTCCCAGCAGTTCAGTGCAGGTCTGGTCCCCCCTTGCTGCAGTTCGTCAGTGCAGGAAGATAATTGCCAGCCTTGCTCATCGCTTTGAGATCTTCTGATGAAAGCTGCATGTAAGAGGCTGGCTGTGCTTATTCAGCGCATTAAGTGCTTGCTGTTATTATAATAGGGATTAATTTGGCTGCGTGGCTTATTTGGGTTTGCCTTTAACTGCCTGGCTTGTAATCAGAGCAAAGTGAATGCTGCTGGAGCTTCGTTTCCTGACTTCCCTGCTTGTTCACCTGGCATTAACCATCACTGGGGTTTTAATTAACGTGTACAAACCAGCATCTCCTGCTGGGAATTTGGGAATTTCCTACTCCAGACAGGATCCCTCCCCACGGGGAAGTCTCATCCCTATCACAAGGACGCTGAAATCCCTTTAATTTTGTAAGCCATCACGTCTTTCAACAAACATCTTCATGGGAAAATCTGATTTTCCCTCCTTTGGTTTCATCCTGGCCGTTGTATCGGCGCTGTGTGGTTTTATGGTTTTGATGGGTTGATGGTGGTCTTTTCCAATAATGTTTCTATGATTCTGTGATTATTATTTTGTCCAGCCCACCCTTGGGTCTCTCATAGGGCATCCCTGGTTTGGGGTTGTTTCACTCTTTTCCCCAGGTTTATCCGTGTGCAGGTCAATATTTCAAGCCAGGAGCATCCAGCATCTTCCTACCCACCCAAGTGGAGCTGACCCAGCCCAGGGGCATTTTCCAGGTCCTGTTTTGCCCCAACGTGGGTGTTGGGGACCCTCGGTTGGGAGAACACAGCATGAAGGCTTTGGTTTTGCCTCAGAAAGCAGCCGTCCTTCCCTACGGCACTTTTTATTTCTCTTGGCTGCGCTCTTGTAAAGCTGGAGCAGATTAAAATACGGTTCCTCCCCTACCACGCTCCCAACAAAAAAAAAACAAAACAAAAAGAAAACCAAAAGCTTGGCTCCTCAAAATCATCCGATTTCAGTCCTTTTAAAGTTAACAGTTTCCTGGATCCCTGCACAGGATTTTTTAGCTTCTAACCTCATTTGGTCGCAGGACCAATGTAGAGGATGAACCTGTTGTGTGTTCCTTGTGTACCTAGGGACTGTCCAAAGGAGAAGAGCCCCTGTAGGAGATGATGGCCACTTTGGGGGCATCCCTTTGGGGCAAAATACTGGTAACACTAGAAAGATGGAGCTTTCATTGTAGAGATCTTTGAAGGGCTCGCTTGTTTTCCTATGGCTTTGGGCCAGCTGTGGTGATTTGAGGCCCTGGAGCTTGTCCAGAGAAGGGTAAAAGAGCTGTGAAGGGACTGGATCTCAAGTCTTAGGAAAGACAGCCAAGGAACTGGGATGGGTCAGTCTGGAGGAGAGAAGGCTCCAGGGAGACCTTATGGCTCTGTATGAGACCCTGAAAGGAGGTTGTAGTCAAGTGTGGGTCGGCCTCTTCTCCCACGTAACAGTGATGAATGGTGTTGGCTTCATGTTGTGCCAGGGAAGGTTCAGGTTGGATATCAGTGATGATGCATCTGCACAGCTGCCCAAAGAAGTGGTAGAGTCATCATCCCTGGAGGTGCTCCAGAACCGTGGAGATGTGGCACTCAGAGATGTGGCCAGTGGCCATGGTGTGAGTGGGTTGGATTTGGGGATCTTGGAACCCTTTCCCAACCTCAGTGATTCTGTGATTCTATGGTTCTGTTTCTATTCTGTTTGAGCAAAGCCATGGAAGTTCAGGGTCTAGATGAGATTGCCCAAAATGCCCAAACACCACTACTTTGTTCTCAGTTCACCATCAGCACTGCCTGTAGCCCTTAGGAGGAGTGTTACAAGGAGTTTAAAACAGAATCAGTCCTGTGCTGGTTGGTTGCACTGTTTCTTCTCGGAGATCTCTGCTTGGTTTGAGTGCTTGGCTCAGTATTGAATTGTTTTGTGGATAGGGCTCAGTGCAGTGTCCCAGTAGCACCACCTTCAGCTGCTTGTCTTCCTTCAACCTTCAGTAAACCGTCCTGCTTTTTCTCCCAGCCTGTATTCTCATAGATGATTTACAGTCCTCAAACCATAAGAACACATTTTGCTTACGTGCAGTCACTGACCGTAGTGGATTCCAGAGCAGTAGCTGGAGTAGAAGAGTTGCTCCCAGGGTGCACTGTGGTGTTTGCATCCTCTTTTAATTCCCTTAACTCTCTCACTATATAACACTATATACTCACTATACACTCTGTGTATATAGGTGCTGCTTTGCTGTGGAGCTGTGCCAGCAGCACTTGATGGTATGGGTAATTTCTGAGAGTTCCCCTTTCTTCTGAATGCTGAATTCATCCCTTCTGGGAGTCCCTGTTCACTGCAGGTGAGTTGGACTACGTGACCTTTAAAGGTCCCTTCCAACTCATATGATTCTATGATGAATCCAGGCCATCCATCCAGGCTGGATGTGGCTCTGGGCAGCCTGGTCTGGTGGTTGGTGATCCTGCCTGTGCCAGGGGGGTTGAAACTGGATGATCATTATGGCCTTTTCAACCCAGGCCATTCTTTGATTCTGTGATGACTCCAGCAACCTGCAGCTCAGATCTGGTGCTTTTCAGCTTTCATTCCTCAGGATATCCTTACCCAGATCCCATGCTTTTGCCCCATCCTCACTTCCTCCCCAAAACCCACATCCACACACAGCTGAAAACTCCCTGCTTTGGGGGAATTTTGTTGTTCCTCAGGGCATTTAATCTGCAAAACAGGCTGCAGGTGGTTTCCCCGTGTGTTGTGAAGCTGGCACTGCCCACCTCCCGTGGGCAGTAACTGATGAAAGGAAAACCAGATAGGCTTTGTGACTTCCTCCTTGAAGCTGCGGGTGGGGAACTTTGTGTCTGGCCAGAGGTGTTTGTGGATATTCAAGGGTGAACGGCTCCGTGCTGAAGATTTGACAGCAGTGCAAAGTCATTGGGCTGCTCTTCCACCCGGCTCCAGAATGAATTTGATTGAAAAAGGGACATTGGGGGTGTGCTGAACATGCCTCCAATCCATCATCCCACAGGAGCAGGGATGGGGCTTGTGCTGATGCTGGAGGTCGCTCGTTGGTGTGCGTACTCTGCAGGGGGATTTCTGCAAAGTGAGGGATTGGCCTTGGAAGCCGCCAGAGGGGAGGGGAAGGAGAACTTTCCTAAGAGCCTCCCATGCTGCTGACCCTACAGACAGAGCCTCACGTCCTTCTGTTTTCTCCTTTTCCTCGCAGCCTACCCATGAGCTCGGATTTCCAGCATTACAGTTTCAGGATGCCGAACATCGGGTTCCAGAACCTGCCTCTCAACATATATATCGTGGTTTTTGGCACGGCCATCTTCGTCTTCATCCTCAGTTTACTGTTCTGTTGCTACTTGATCAGGTAAGAGAGCTGCCCTGGCTTTCTGCAGGAGGTGACCTCCTTCAGGTGAGGATATCCCACAGTGTTCAGTGCACAAACTGTTCCTGTTATCCAGCATCGAATCAAAATGGCTTAGGTTGGAAGGGATCTTAAAGATCACTGAGTTCCAGCCTGTGGACTTAGGCTGCTCATGCAACCCTCAGGAAACGTGTGTGGTAGGCTTCAGTCTGGGTGCAGAAGTAGGATGAGAGGTGATGGACTTGAAGTTGCAGCAGGAGAGGTTCAGGTTGGATGTTAAGAAATATTTTCTCTCCAAAGGAGTGGTCAGACAGTGGAGAGGGCTGTCCAGGAGGACGGTGGAGTCCCCCATCCGTGGATGTGTTCAGGAACCATGGAGATGTGGCACTCTGAGAGACAGTGGGCACAGTAGGGATGGGTTGGGGTTGGACTTGGGGCTCTTGGAGCTCTTTTCCAACCGTGATTCTGTAATTCTATGGAAGTACTCACCCACGCTGGGAGAAATCGATGCATTGGTCAGGAAGCGACGGCGTCACCTTTCTGCAGGGAGCTTCATCCTCTGGTGTGGTGACAGCTTGATGTGACCCATGAGATAGTTTGTATTTCCCATTCTAAGCAAAGAACGTGCTCAGCACTCTGCGTCACGGCGTTCAGATTCAGAGCAGCGCCATCCATTGCATCTCAGAGTGAACAGTTCCACAGGCAGTAAAAACAGCAGATAAGTATTTTGGGGAACTCTTACATGGGCATGAAGCGTGGTTAGCCAGGTGGCCTTCTCCAAAAGACTCAAAAGCTGTGTTTTATGGCTCCTGCTTTCTGCTTAGTGTTTCAACACGTCTCCCTCTTTAATGAGTAACTTATGTACTGTGCACTTAAGAAATGTTTAATACCTGCTCCGTTCGTTACTGTACACAAATTGCTCATTGAACAAAGCTGTTTGGAGATTAATGATGCAGGGGTGATTTGTTGACCTGAGCGATGGGGAAAAGGAAGGGAGATGGTTGTTCCTATTTGGGGTGTGCTTTAATTATTTTACAGGCTGCTGGGGAAGGAATTAAGCCGCTAATTGAGAAGCAAAATCCCTTTTGCTGGAGGGAAAATGGAAGGCAGGTGGGGGAAGATTGGGAATCGAGGCAAATTTGGTGATGTGCTAATGGTGCTCAGAAGGCTGAAGGCTGTATTTTCCCCAAGTAGAGCGGAATCTATATGGCTTCCTTGCAGAACTAAGAGGTGTCTGGACTTTCAGAGTGTTTTCCTGGGCACTGGGTCTTGCTGGGTGTGTTCTGCCCCGAAGAAGAAACAACAAGTAGTAATGTCTGAGAGACCAAGCCAGAAAATCTTTAAATTTAGAAGTTGGAGGCGTGTTGTAAGAGAGAGGGTGAGTAACCACAGGGAGAAGCCAGCGAGGGAAGTGGTGAGTTCTGTCTCTTGCTGTCTTTAGATGAAGACAGAGTGCCCTCCTGGAAGAGGCGTCTTGGCTCCCACTCCCAGAGGTAACGAAGTGCTGTTTAACGACCCATGATAGACAGGAGGCTGGATTAGATCACCTCATGATCCCTTTATAGCCCTTAACTGTTGCGAGTCGGTGAATCAAACCAGCAGCACCAGCAGCTCTGGGGTTGGAAGTCCTGCATGCCCAAAGCAGCCCCGTGCCCTGGATTTGGGCTGTGCTCTTGTTCCCCTGCAGCACTCACCACCTCCTTTGGATTTGCCACAGAGCTGAGCTCCCACATCTCAGCTTGGGTGAGGCTTTTTAAGCTTGAGGGTCAGCTTGTAGCTGGGCAGTGGGTAAGGACTATGCACAGAGCACCCCAAGTGATTGCTTTCGGATGGGTCAACCTCAGTGCTCCACTGCTGTGGTGGTGAATGGCGGAGCACTGCTGGAGCCTGGCTGCATAGCAAGCAAATACTCAGAGCTCTGCAGGATTCCATAGGAGGATTGGATATACGAAGCAAGATGTTGAACTCAAGTTGGATTTCTCCTCCTCCTGAACCAGCTGCTAAAGCCTCCTGGATTACTGCATGCATTCCTGACCCCTTCTACATGGCTTTAACATGGGGTCACAGCTGGAGGCTGCAAAAGGTGAGGTGTTAATTTAATAGTGGGTCAACCACGTCCTCCCAGAGAAGCAGAGCATTGAGTGCACACAGTGCATCCTCTCCCTCCTGGTCTGCAACTCGCACATCTGCAAGAGCTGGGCTAACAGCAAGCAGATCTCGTGGGATTTGAGATGGTAGGGATTTAATGGGGCTGGCTCAGAGCGGGGCTGGGTGTGAGCTCCAGCCAAAAGAAAGGAGAGAAGGATTGCTGCAGAGCTCTGCTGCACAGCATGCATCCCTCCCCCCTGGCAGCCGCCTTCAGACGAGAAATAGGGAAAAGGAAATGAAACTTTGCTGGAGCTGTCTGTGTCTGCTCTCTGCTGCTGCTTTCAGAGGATAAGGCTGCAAGAAGGTATAGGCTGGGATCTGTGGGCTGAGGTCAACTGGATGGGCTTCGGCAAGACCAAGCGCTGGGGAGGCTGCACCTCGAATGCTGCATTCAGTGTTGGGTCCCTCTCTAAGGGAAGGACATTGAGGTTCAGGATTGTGTCCAGAGAAGGGCAACAGAGCTGCGAGGGGATCTGGAACACAAGTCTTCTTTTGTCTCCTGAAGAGTGGTGAGTCATACAGTCTCAGAATCACAGAATGGCCTGGGTTGAAAAGGACCACAGTGATCATCCAGTATCAACCCCCTGCTATGTGCAAGGTCGCCAACCAGCAGACCAGGCTGAGGTATTGGCACAGCTGCCCAGGGAGGTGGTGGAGTCACCATCCCTGGAGGTATTCCAGAACTGTGGAGATGTTGCACTTGGGGACATGGTGGAGATGGGTTGGGCTTGGGGATCTTAGAGCTCTTTTCCATCCTTCATTATTCTATGAAGGGGATAGACCCTGTAGCAGGGTCTGTTGTGGTAGGAGCTGGGGAAATGGTTTCAAACTAACAGAAGGGAGATTTAGACTGGGTTTAAGGAAACCCTTTTTCGCAGTGAGGGTGGTGAGGAGCTGGCACAGGTTGCTCAGAGAGGCAGTGAGTGTCCCATCCCTAGGGACATTCAGGTCAGGCAGGATGGGGCTCTGAGCACCTGATGGAGCTGTGGGTGTCCCTGTTCACTGCAGGGAGTGGGACCAGATGGCTTTAAAGATCTCTTCCAACTTGGATGATTCTACGATTCTATGATTTCCTCTGTGTTTTGATCTGTTGCCATTTATTTGTGGCAGGGTCACAGCTCCTGGCACGGGGTGGATGCTCACCACGACCTGGGGGCTCACATTACAGCAGTTGTGTGGGGTGGGATGGACCCATCTGGCCCATCCTCTCTCAAAGCCACATGGTCAGCGTGTGGATGCCTCCCCCAGAGCTCTCCCTGCTCCACGCACCTTGCACGCTTGACTGTTCATACTGTTCATGTGCTCATGCTGTTCTCAAGAGGTTTTTAAGCAAAGTTATCCCATGCAAACCTTCCCACATAGCACCCGCACTCATCTGGCAGCACTGAGCTGCTTTTCCCCCTTGTAGGCTGTCTCCAGCAGCAGATTTCCCTTTTCCTATCTGTCTTCCATAAGCAGTTTCCCAGCCTCAGGGCTCCTTGTGAACAGAGCTGGTTCCATCCTACTTGCTCCACTCTTTGCACATTGCTGCCAGGCCCATCCTTCCCATTCCAAGGGATTTACCCTTGGCTTTTAGGTCACCCAATTTCTGAGAAGCATCTTCAGAGAAGGCGTCTGAGCTCCAAACCGGGGCTCCAGAGCTGCCTTCCTGCATCCCTAACCAACCTCTGCTGCATTAAAGTGCATTTTTTTTTTTTGGTTGTGTTTTTAATTCCAGCATTTTTCTGGAGGGATCTTTGCATGCTAATAGTTTGGAGATATATATTTTTACATCTTGATGTTTGCATGGAAAATCGTGGAGTTCAGAAAAGGGAAATTGTGGGAGGTCCTGTGCTGACAGCTGGATGCAGATGTCATGTTTCCAGCTATGTACAAAATCCCAGCCCAGACTCTTGAAACGAGTGCACCATTTCAGGAAAGAAAGAAATGATTCCATAGGAGAGGGAGGGAAATGGAAGGGGGTGTTGGGTTGTTGTGGTGATCCTCATTTTCACTTTTCTCTCTGTTTTAATTCCAGGCTCAGACATCAAGCGCACAAAGAGCTTTACGCCTACAAACAGGTGAGGTGATGAAGAGTCTCCTCCCTTCTCCTCCCTTCTCCTCCATTCTTTTTTCTCACTTCTTCTTCCTCCTTCTTCTTCCTTCTCCCCTCTCCCTTCTAGATTGCCTGACAACCAAATCCACATAAAGGCTGTGAGTTCCTTGGTGTTAACACCTTTAGGTTGTGCTTTCAATCCCATTGGGAGGTTCTCTTCCTTGGAAGAGAAGCTGTTAATGGAACCAACTCACCTGGTTTGAAAGATCTTCAGGGTACCGAGTCCAGCCCACCTGCTGAGTGCCACCACTGCACCACATCCCTGAGCTCCTCACTCCCCACACATCATGCTGCTGATGCTCTGATTTGGGATTTTCCTGCCAGCTGGGCACCCCATGGGCATCCTGAGCTGCCTGTGGTTGCCTTCAGGTGTTGGCCCTTCAGGGGCAGGTCTTGGTGCCATCAGTTGGATGCAACCCAGGGTTGAGCCCAGAGGCAACAGGAGAGCTCAGCAGGAAAACAAAATAATAGAAATACAGGTATTTTAAAACAGTCTAAAATAAGAGTTAAGTCCCAGGAGCGTGGCTGCAAGATCCCCATATGGTGGGGACATTTCCCACCTTGGAGCCCCCTGGAGACCTCAGGGCTTTCCAAACCTTTTGTGAACAGTAACAGCATCGCAGCTGGAGGTCAGAGCAGCCACAGCTCTCCTGGGCAGCACATCTCCAGCTCTTGTGTGCAGCCACCCACACAGAGGTGAAAATAAACACAGGTTCCCACTGATGCATCCTGTTTTCTTCAGGGTTTGTGTCATTTTTCTGCCTCCATCTTTCAAGCAGGAAACCTACTTGACATGGGATTGGGCTGATATGGTGTTGTGTACGGTGTTACAATGTGGGGAGCCCCCTGGGGAAGGGGTGGAAGTGAATCTGTACAGCACAGCTCATTCCCCCTGTGCCAGCCCAGGAGGTCTGAGTGCAAGAGGAGACCTCCTGGGTTGTGTCCTCTGATCATTTTGTTTGTTTCTTTTGTGCTTTTTGGGTCATTTTTGTGCTCATCCTGTCCTTGCACTGGCTTGAGAACCATCTGTAGGTGGTTTCTGGCTCCTCTGGGGTGTTAAATGGGATCACTACAGCTGTTACAGCACCAGAGTGCTCATGGTTGTGTATTTACAATGACAATCATTGCTGATAATATCCAGCAGAAGTCATGGTTTGGTATGCTTTTAGATTTTAGGCTACTTCTATGCTCTTTCTGCTGTTGTGCTGTAGAAGACCTCACCCTATACCCAGATCTGTGTACGGAGCTTTGCACTGCACACAGCTGGGGAGAGGCTGGGACTGAAAGCAGAGGATTTTAATTACAATCAGTGCAGTGGAAAGGGAAAATGTAATAGAAATGGGTTGCAAAACGTGACTTACGGAGATCTGAGATGCTGGAAATGTGTGTTCAAAGCAGCATCCTGACCCCATCTCTGCCTTGCAGGTAATACTGAAGGAGAAGGTGAAGGAGTTGAACCTACACGAGGTGAGTCCATGTGTGGGTTTGCTTCCAGGGGGGGGTTCATGGCATCCAGACCTTGCGTGATCCTCACTGCACAACCCTCGAGCAAATTGATGGGATTTTGCTCTGCAAGTGAAACTTTGGGCTCTGGGAAGTTTCCCCAGCAATTAGAAGGCAGATTAAGCCTAAATTGAGCTTTAAACTTCCTTTTATCGCTGTTTAATGACCTCTGGAGCTGCAGGACTTACCACCCCCAGGCTCACAACCCGGGGCTGCACAGAGCTGTGCTAAGCCACACTCTGTCACACTGCCAAGCCAACCCACGAGGCAAAGGGCCCTTTTTTTTTCTTTCCATGACCAAAAGCAATGGGATGAGACAGAGATTTTTGGGGAGCGTTGCCTCAGTTTTGCCTCAGTTTTGCCAGTCTGTGTATTTTTGGCTTGCAGAACCACTGACTTTGTGTGACTTGCTTTCAGATCTGTGCCGTTTGCTTGGAGGAGTTCAAGCCCAAGGACGAGCTGGGGATCTGCCCGTGCAAACATGCCTTCCACAGAAAGTGAGTGCAGCAGGCCGGGAGCTGTTATTCACAGCATCACAGAGTGGGAGGGTCAGAAGGGACCTCAGGAGATCCCCTATTGCTAAGATTCCCTCTCAGCATTCTGTTCCCCTGGTGAACAGCCCCAGGGCTCTCAGCGTTTCCTCCTAAGGAAGATGCTTTGGGTCCCTGTTGCATCTGTGGCCTTCTGCTGGGTTCTCCCTGTCTGCCACTACACCGAGTGCGGTGCTCCAGGTGGAAAATCCCATTATCAGATACCTTGGAGCATTTGGAGCAACAAAAGCATTTGGAGCAAAAAAAAAGGAGCTGGTTTCTGTGTATTTATTTGCATTTTATAAGGTTGGATGTGGCTCTGAGCAGCCTGCTGTGGTGGTTGGAGACCCTGCACGTAGCAGGGGGGTTGAAAGCAGATGATCGTTGTGGTCCTTTTCAACCCAGGCCATACTGTGATTTATTGAGTCGTAGGATCATTAGGCTGGGAAAGACCTCAAAAACCACCAAATATAGAGCAAATGTATACATTATCACAGAACCACAAGGGGTCAGAGTGGACTTCTGGAGATCATCCAATCCGACCCTCCTGCTATATGTTATTATAAGCGATTATACTCTTGATTTGTGTCATATAGTTGTTCTACATGATGTATTTATGTATATATTTTACATATAAAAGTACTTAAATGATGAATTAAGAACGTACCGTTAACAACACTGCAAGGAGGGATGAAAATGGACCAGACCTGGCACGTGGCTGTGCCAGAAAGGTGCTGCTTTGGGGTCCTTATGACCTGTCTGTGCTTTTTCCCCCCCCAGGTGCCTCATCAAATGGCTGGAGGTGCGCAAGGTCTGCCCGCTCTGCAACATGCCGGTGCTGCAGCTGGCACAGCTGCACAGCAAGCAGGACCCAGGCCCTCCTCAGGGTCCCCTACCTGGAGCAGAGAACATCGTATAGCTCTGCATCAGCACGGACTGCCCCGGGGCTGCTGGGGGGTACCTGGAGACGACCAAAGCACTACGGCACCAGCAAAGGAGCCAAGCTGGGGACGGGAGGATGGAGAGCTGAGAGCACTTTAGGGAAGTAGCATCCCTGCGCCCCAAAACGGTGCTTGGCCTCGGAATGGGGTTTTCCTCAGCGGGAACATGGAGCTCAGTGACTGTCGGGAAGCCTCAGCATGATGCCTTGGGATGGAGCTGTGCCTGAATGCACTCATCCCCCTCTGAGCATCACCCAGGAGAGCCGGTGTCCGTCCCGCGCGGTGCTGTGGGCTCAGTGCCATCCAAGGGGGGAATTTTTCACCCCTGATTGCCATCCCTACTGAGGATTGCAGTTTCTCCTCCCAAAGGGCCGCCCAGGGTTTGGGGCCGGGTGCTTTTTGGGGTGGCTTCCCCCCCCTGCTCAGTGCCACGGGCTACCTCAGGGCTCCCTTCATCCCCACCATGGGGCAGAGCATCTCCTATTGGTGCAACCACCTGGTATCACAGCAAGGTGGGGGCAAACCCTGCCCTTTGGGTTCACGTTGAGCCTGGCTCTTTAGGTTTCCAAGCACGGATGGCTCAGCATCACCCAAACTCCCTCCCCAACCCTCCCCGAGTGCCAAAGCTGCTGGGGGCTGCACCACCCCCTCCTCTCCTTTCACCCCATGGGGCAAATTCAGCCCTTTTCCAGGCATCGTTTCCCCCCCCCCCCCAACCCTGCAGCTCTTTATGGAGGGGGGGGAGGGTCCCAGTTTTACCCCACAGCAGGGCTGGGTGGGCTCTGGGGGGGTCCCTCCTGTACAGACCCTGCGACTCCCATGCCTGTCTATGGAGCGTGGAGCCTCATAGACGTGTTTGTACACTACAAATTCTGCAGCAGAATATTTTTTTAAAAACGTTTGCTGGTTTTTTTTTTTGGTTTTTTTTTTTTTGGAGGGGGGAGGGAGGTGTTGTTTTTTGTTGTTGTTGTTTTTGGGGGCTTTTTTTTTTTTTTGTAAGCTCTATTTTTGTATATTTAATTGCTATTTCAAGATTCTAACGCGTCTTGTTTTGCTAATCACACTATTCTTAAGGAAAAAAAAAAGAAAAGCAAAGGAGGAGGTTTGCATGTGATTTGACTTGAAATGTAAATAAAGGCAGGTTTTGGATGCAGGGTGTGTTTGAAGGGGGGACCGTGGCCACAGGGAAAGGATCCCATCCCCAACACCTCGCTCTGTGCTGTGTCTGCACGGCCTGCATCTCCCAGCACAGCTTCAGGGTCTCATCTAAGATAGGGCACAGCTGAATGTATCATTTCAGACCCAAAGGAGAGGCACAGCAAAGGAGAGCACCAAGCAAGGAGTTTACAAATGGGACGCACTCAGCTTTTCGGGTTGTAAATATTATCCATTATCAGCATCTCTGTTGTTCTGATCATTTATTGAGGAAGCAGCGTGCTACTTCCAAATCCATGTCCTGAGAGCAGAGCATCCTCAGAGGTTGCAAAGTGCACAGCCTAATTCAGGCTGTGCGCAAGGAGGAAACACAAGAAAGAACAACTGCTATGTATATGGAAAGGGCAGCTTCACCCCCCAAACTACTTTAGTGTATAAGCACTGAATGAAGCATTACAGAACAAATCCCAAATACATGACTGAAAGAAACAGTAAACTCTTTGGTATTGTTATATGCAGCCCTGCTGATAGCATGACTGTGTCCAGCAGAGCACTGTGGGGTCTGGAGGGAACAGGAATGGTCCTTATGGTGTTATGTGCTGCAGTTCTCACCCCTCCACAGATTTGTAGGACAATGAGAATGTGACATCTTTCATCTGCAGAACACAGAACCTTGCAGCTGACACCTGTAATATGGGAACTAAACAGACATACAGCACTCAGAGGCATTGATGAAAGTGCTTTAAAGCTTCATGTGGGCACTGTGACTTCATTGCTTGAACGTATGGAACCTGGATGGATCAGGCTGAGTCCAGGAGCTCCAGCAGAGCACCAACTGCACCAAAGTAACCCTGAGGAGCAAACAGATCTGTTAACAGCCCAAAGGCGGGCACGCGAGCGACACGGGGAAGGAATAACAGGAAATGATAGGTTTGACAAGAGAAATGTGAAATGGAATCTCACCTCGTGTTCCAAGAACAGTGCTTTCAGCTGTCCCTTCGACCAGTAGTCCAAAGCATAGGCCAGAAGCTTCATGGAGATGGTGTTGATCCGGAGGAAATTGCCGATGAAGACGACCCGGTCGATGTTCTGCAAGCGTGGAGAAAAAGATGGGAACGTTAAGGCTGGATTCCATGGTTCTGCTTGTAACAATGGCAACACCACCTGAGGGTCAGAAGAAAAGCAATGACACTTTGTAGTGCTCTCTAAAAGGCCATCTGTAGCCGTTCAAGTATGTTTTCCACTGAGATGTTCTGTTGGTATGGTGCTTACATGGTTTTACAAGTAAATAGCAGTAAGTACAGACAACAGGAAGAGTGGAGTGTGCTTCCCTCTGTCAGCTCGGACCATAGGAAGAGGCTCAAACTCAAGAGCATGCCTCTGTTCTTTCATAGCCCTGTACAATGCTGCTTGACATGAACGCAACAAGGCAGCACTGTAAAGAAGCTGAAAGCACAGAGATACAGTCATGTCCAGGAAAGTGGTGCTGCTTGACCAGGAGAACAAAAGCAAGTGGTGAAAAGAACGTAGGAAAGGTCTCCCACCTCTCCCCCTCCACCCCAACTTCAGTGCTAAATACACAAGAAAACACACAGCATTGTGGTGAAAAAGGGGCCATATTGTGCTGCCAAAGAGAACCTCCCAAGAGCCAGCCCCAAATTCATGGGCAGTAACTCAGCTCACAGTGATCTGCCTCAAAGTACACAGACAAGCAAGAACAAAATTTGGATTCAACACCGATGAATCCAAAAAAGGGGCAGATTGCAAAGATCCAGAAAGACAAGAATGAACACGCAGCCACAGGAAGGCATGCAGGGAAAGAGAGACAGCAGAACAGCAGTACAGGAGTGAGGCTTCAGAGGGGAAACAGAATGGCTTTCCCCCATACCTCATTGAGCGCACACATCCGTGCGATGGAGCCGATGTTGTTGGTGATGGTTATCAAGGTGGCCTTGGCCAGGTCCTCTTTGCTCACAGATTCCCTCTTCTCCTTGCTCATCATGTTTCCAAAACTGTCAAGAAAGTTTTAGGGTTAAAGGTTTACTTGCATCAAAATTCCAGAAAAAAAAAAAAACAAAGGGAATTGCTGGGTTAACTCGAATGATAGTGTGAAAGAATTAATGTAGTCTTAAGACATGCACGTTTGGTTTTTCATTGCTGCACAACCTGTGCTGAGAACAACCCAGCAGTGACCACCATTACCTGGATGCTACGGCCCAGCCTGGCAGCCCGAACCGCTCGTAGTCTCCTCCATAAATGTCCCTCACCAACTTGTCCACTTTGGTGCTGTCCCCACGGGATGCCATCTCCATGGCCTCCTCAAAGGTGGAGCAACCCGTGAGAAGGCAGCAGAGCCCAAAGAAGGTTCCCCCTCCGAGACTGCAATGGAAAGCAAGAGGAAAGTCATTCACTGGGCTTTGGGAAACGCGACGTGCCATCACCTAACTGTGTTATTCACCATTAACGATGTTTAATTGGAGTAAGACCTGTGCCAAGGGGTTTCATCAATGCTCATTTTTATGAACTTCAGGGAAGCTCACAGCCACAAAGCTCTTTGGCTTCACTGGGCAACAACAGTCGCATTTTCAATGCAGCTGTCCACAGAATCACAGAAGCATCAAGGTTGGAAAAGAGCTATGAGATCATCCAGTCCAACCACCCACCTCTCACCAATAGTTCTCACTAAACCATGGCCCTTGACACAAAATCCAAACGTTCCTTAACATCCAGAAGCTGTCTGGGGAACTAAGATTGTCCCAGCACATCTGCTGAACTGACTGGAGCTAAACGTTGTTCATATCTGGGGTCTCTGATACACCCAGTTAATTCCTGCAGCTGAGAAACCAGCTTCTAAAGATGCCTGTTGCAGTAAGGAGGCTGAAACATGAAATTCAGATTCCCTTTTCCAGGAGGAATCTCTGTTGGCAGAGATGAGGGACTGCAGTAAAAGCTGGAGTGTGACACTCAACACAGCACCTTCGATGCAGCTTCCTCAGTGCAGAAACACACTGCAGGCTGAAACAAACTCCAAAGTGAACGCAGCCCGTTGCAGCACTCACCTGGTGCCCGTCACCCGTCTGTAGTTCTCCTTTGAATACACAGCCAAAATGCTGACCCCTGAGCCAATGTTCACCAGAAGGAGAGGGTAGGGATTCCTCAAAGTGAACGGGAGCTTCTGACAGCGTTCGGTGTCAGTTGGGTGTTGGAAATAGTAGCACTCTGAACGGCCATTGAACCCAACGGAATCGATGTACAGGACTCCTTTAATAAGGCAGTCGAGCTCATCCAGCTTACGAAGCTGAAGGTCACCCATCTGGCAGGGGAAAAAAAGAATATTGAAGAAGTAGTTAGGGATGGGAGAGTCGATGCTCACCGCCAGCTAAATTCCAGCTGTCTCCATTCCTCCCTATGGGGACAGAGAGAAATGCAGATGACAGCAAGGCTGCGTCTCACCCCCTGTGGACTGCTGACTGTCCTGGCCCTGAAGTGGAGGGCAATAAACAACCTGAACCATTGGTGGAGGCCAGGAGAATCCAATCCCACTGGGACTCGGAGGGACTGGCAAGAAAAGCAAAGGAGATTTAAATAGGGCGTAAATGTTTGACAAAGAGAGAAAGAAAAGAAAAAACAAAGCGGGAGAAATCAAGATTGTTCTTCCCTTATGTCACTGCCTGGAGAGTGCCTTAAAAAGCCTCTTTATTTGGTACATTTTTCAAGCCTTGTTTAAATATTTAGCAGACACATACTTCACCCATAAACAAGAATCTAACTGATGATAATGGAGCCACGTGACGACGTCAAACTCCAACTGCTAACCCCTTCCAGGTAATTCACCACCTTATTTGCCTGAACCTCCATCAGCAGCACAAGGTGTGCTAGAAACGAAGCTATGGGAGCAAACAAAGAGTGAAAATTAAGCATGGGAACACACAGCAATGAGGAAGAAAGAACACTGAGCTGAGTGTAATCGCAGAGCGGCGATACAAAGCCCTGTAAGAGCACACGGCGGGGAGGGCAGGGAGCAATTTTAGAGTTACAGGAATGTTGCATGAGCTTTCAGGAGAGAACACAGCCTAATTTAGAGATGTGAACGTGACTCCACACCCTGCTTCCTGAGCTGAGTTTAATTCCAGTCTAAGCTAAGGCTTAGAAAAGCTGAGAGGCTGCAGAGAAGGACTGGGGGCATTTCTAGCTTTAAGCTTCAAGTTTCACTGCCAAATCCGAATTGTATACAAGCCAAAAATGCCTACTGTGAGAAAGTCCTGCTCAAATTTGTACGCTCCACCTCCCGTGGCACATAAGGTAGTATGGAGGCTCGAGAAGTGCTTTTCGCTTCCCATTTGAATAAAAGCAGGCATGTCATGGGTAGGAAAGCGTATAAAGTGCAGATTGCCTTTACGTCCACACAGGGAAAGGTCCTTTAGTTCAAGGTGCACATCCCGAATGCCTGTGGATCCGTAGGCCACGTTTGACGTCAGGTACTTGCGGATGTTTTTGAGGTTTTCCACTTCTTCGTCCTCCTCTTCGGCAGTGATGTCCTTTGGTTCAAAATAAACAAGTTTGACCAAGGTCCCACCGATGTCCAGGCCGAACCAAGGGAAGACTGAAAAGAAAGGGGAAAAAAAACAGATGGTGAAACACAGCACGGTGCCGTCAGACCGTCAGCAGAAGGAACTGCACACACTGCCTGCACTCCAAATCCTTACAGCAACCCCAGGAGCACCACGAAGGCAGACGCATCCCAGGTCTTGCAGTATCCCTCCAGCAACCTGAATCCCCAGCTATTGCTTTTTTAGAGAGCCAGAGCCAAGGATAATAGTGGTGCTCCGACATCAAAGCCGTGCACAAACGGTAACTAATTACAACACACAGCACTGAGGTAGGCAAGTAGTCTAAGATGCCCCAGAGAGACAAAAACAAATGTCTAATTGGATTATTTTATTAGGCAAATTCCCCCACGGTACAAAATATGCATTAGTGTCAGGCCCAGCAACATTTACAGCTGTATGAGATAATGAGCTTCTTGGAAAAGATCAAGAGAAAACCCCCATCAGATGGAATCTGAGATTAGAGCTGAGAGCTGGAACGGATTAATATTGCTATTAATGAGCTAAAGGATAGGCTGGAGCTAACGAGATACCGTAGGGCAAAATGCAGCTTATATTGGCTTATAAACCCAATATACTGCCCTGCTGCCAGAAGTGCAGTGTACCCTCTCCCTGGTGGGTGGACTCAGAGAGCATCCCCACCTCCCCAGCAGCTGCTGCAGCCAGCAGCTTCCCAAGCTCTCCTTCAAGCATCAAATCATTTCTATGGATTTACAGAGGCCACCCCCAGCCATCACCAAGGGACAAAAGGAGGCGTGAGGTCTATTTTAGGAAGCACGTCCAAACCCCAACCACCCTCTGTTTCTGATGCATTCACCTGAAACAAGAAGAGAGAGAAAAAGAACAGCTGATGGATGAGAGAGGGAGCAACCTGCACGGCTGGCCAACAGAGAGCAACCCAAGGACTTCTGCACTAACATTGCTGCTGCTTTCCTTTCTCCTCACTGCCTCAAGGTTCTGAACCTTCACAGAACCACGGCATGGTTTGGGTCAGAAGGGATCTTCCAGACCATCCCATTCCAACCCTTTTGTCGTTTCATTCCAAACCTTTGTCACTACATCAGCTGGGAGGTTCACACCCCAAACTGCAACCTGCAGAGACAGAAACCTTCCAGATTTTAGAGCACAAGAATGGCTTTCCCAGTCCCAGTAGAGGGAAAGCTCTTTAGAAACAGCACCCCAGGTCGTTTTCAGTGTTGGCAACATCTAAAACGTCGATAATCTATGGGATGATCTATAGCAGCTCTCTGCTGTGGGGGCAGCAGGAGATGGTGCTGCTCCCAGGCCTCCCAGGCTGGAGAGAACCATCACAGACAGCTCTACAGACACCTTATGCAGGTAATTAACTTCAATCAGACAGATTAGTGGGCATGGTGGGAATGGGTTGAGGTTGGACTCGATGATCTTAGAGCTCTTTTCCAACCTTCACGATTCTGATTCTTCATTACGGATCAGAGAATCGTAAAGGTTGGAAAAGAGCTCTAAGAATCCCAACCCATCCCCACTGACCACATCAGTGCCACATCCCAACGCTTCCCAAACTCCTCCAAAGATGGGATCTCTCATCATGCACAAGTTAAGAATCCGAGGAATGCTCAAAACGCTCCCAAGACAACAGTTCTTTGGTTCACCTTTGCAAACAAACACTCAAATAACCAAGATCATGGTCAAAACTTCTCCCATGTGCCATGGGTTCGATTCTTTTTGGAAAGGGGTGTGGAGCACAAAATTATTTCCAGGTATGGAGAACTGTGCTTTTTCTTACAGGAAATCAGCCAACACGAGAATGCAAGGCAGCCACAGCCATTCCCTATCTGAGAGCTAGAAAAATCCAGGCCTTCAAAGGGAGGAAGCTCTGTTGGATGAACGCCATCACCATCTGCTATCGAGATCTGTCTTCAAATGCTGATTTGTTCCACCATTTCTCACGCACAGCTCTCTCCCTCATGAGCCCCCAAAGGCCCTTCTGAGAGCTGCAACACAGCACACATAGGGCTGGGGGCACCAGGACCCTTCAGGCACTGACAACCATGAGCACCACTGCTAAGGTGAAAAAAAAAAAACAAAACACAATGCTGTTCCATGTGGAAAGTAGCAGGGATGCAAGCAAGGAGCTGCAATCATAGAACTATGGAATGGTTGGGTTGGAAGGGACCTTAAAATCCATTCAGTCCCAATGCCCTGGGATGCCCAGGGATGCCACCATCCCTGCCCTGTAAGCTCTTGGGGGCAAGAAAACCAAAAATGCCTCTGCAAAATAAATTGCTTTATAAGTCTGGATGGGTTATAAATAATAACAAAACTCAACAGATTTCTTCTGACTGGGTTCAAATTTGGAGAGCTGTGTCAAGATGAACGAGGTGATACAAATTACAGACCCCCAGGGGGGATTTTCTCCATGTGAGAAGTGGCGTTGCAGGTTGATCCTTCAGTTAAGAGCCAATTATTCTGGAAGCTAAGGAGATCTGCCTGCAGAGCAGTGAAGACTGATGGTTTAGCTGAGGGTATGACAAGGCTGCCACGCTCCCTCTCAAATACCCAGCATTATATTGTAGTGGGGCCATGGAAATTTAACAGCTGGAAAAGAAATCAATAAAGGAACATTCGTCGGCATTAAATACAAAGTGACACCAAGTCTCCCTCTCCTCACATCTCTAAAAATAGGCTCTGCTGGGAATTCACAGCTCGTATGCAATTCCAAAACAGAAAAAGGGTATTTAAAAAATATATATATGTCAAAGCTTGTTTTGTATTGCAAAGCAGCTCCTGATGGTTTAGATACGGGCTCCACTTTGGAACTCAGACACTTCCTACAACACAGATACGTCCTTCCCCTCTCCTTTTGTCAAACAGCACAGCACTACGGATGGTGCCTGCCAGAAGCACCAGAACAAGCTGCTTATTATGATTATTTCCAAAGAACTGCAGCCTGCAGAAAAGAGAAATATAACTTGTTTCTCAGGGAAACAAGCTAAAGCCATCTCTGCCAAGGAAAACTTGTTTTCAGGCAGGAGCAGAGCAGGGGAGCACAGGCAGACGTGGGATGGGAGAAGGCTGCTGAACCAAATTGCTGACCTATTTCTCTTATCAGAAAGAAGATTCTTTAGAGGAAAAAAAATACATTCCACTGCTCATTACCATTGGGTATCACCAGCTTCATGCCTGGCACTTCGCCCTGCCTGCAGAAAGCCACTGGGTACAGCTGTACTGCAGCTATGTTAGAGTAAACTCAATGTGAATGTCCTCTTTATTCACCTGCGGTGCTTCCAGTCCAGTGAGGCTGTCCTGGTTTCAGCTGGGACACAGTTAATGTTCTCCATAGTGGTTGGTGCAATGCTATGCTTTGGCTTTGGGAGGAAAACAAGGCTGATAACGCAGCCATGTTTCAGTTTTGGCTGAGAGGTGCTGCACAGAGCCAAGGTCGTTTCGGCTCCTCGTGCTGCCCTGTTGTGAGGGGCTGGGGGGGCACAAGGAGCTGGGAAGAGACAGAGCAAGGACAGCTGACCTTAACTGGGCAAAGAGACATTTCATACCTTATGGTGTCAAGTGGAACTATAAGACTGGGGAGGCTGTGCAGTGCTGAGCTGCCTGGTAGCTTCAAGGCCTGTAGCTTCTTCAAGAGCAAGGCTGGGGTGCAGGAGGGCACGCAGCTCGACACCCATTGCATTGCTCCAAGTTTATCTCTGACAGAGGATATCACAGACAGAGCTGCACTGATGACACCGTGATCCCACATCATACCACGCTGACCTTCCAAACGTTCTGTCAAAAACCATCATCTTGTCCTAAAACCACCCTCGCTACATTTTATGGAGCCCTTAGAGTTGCAAGGGACCTTTAAGGATTATTTATGCAACAAATCTGAACCTCAACAGAGATGGAAATACCCTTAAAACTTCCAAAGGGTGAAGTGGAAAGGGATAATTCACTCACCAAAAGCTGCCTGCCATCTATTAATGAGCACATCTCTAATTAACAGCCCTGCAGCTACAACTGGTACCTTCAGCTGTCATATTCTTACAGTATAACTCTGCCACATTGGAATGACAGAAATTACCACCATCACCATGGTCCTTGCATCCCTCTGTGGAACTCCTCTCCCATCCTCCTGGCCCTTCAGCATGCAGAAAACCCCACGATTGCCTGAATTACTTCACACGAACAACCATTTCCCAAGTGCAGGATGACTCCCACGGTCTGGGAATGAATGAAAGGGAGCACAGCCTCAATGAGCTGGAATGAGAACATCTCAAGGAATACTTCTGATAGGAACTGTTGCACCTTTTGATTGCAATTCTTCTGCTTTCAGATGCACTCCTTTATTTCACAGTAAGAGATCAGGAAAAGAAGAAGAGATGCTCCGTCCCCGAGGTCATTTCACAAACCTTCTCTAGGCAGGAGCCACCTGGCCCCGCCCCCCACGGTAGCCACGCCCATTTACATCTCATTACCGATAACCCCGCCCCCTTGACCAAGCCCCGCCCCCTTCCTGCTGTCGACCTTAGACTCACTCCCTCATCCCCGCCCCTATGGGCCCCGCCCCCCTCCAGGCCCCGCCCCCGCGCCCCCTCCTCCTCACTCACGCGGGCGGTTCTTGCGGACCGAGTCCCGCCGAAGGCCGCAGGCTGCGCCGCCCCCCTCGCAGTGCTCCGGTCCCGCCGCCGCGCTTCCAGCGCCCGTCCCGCCGCCGCTCCATCGCCGCGGGTTCCCCGCTTCCGCTTCCCGCCTCCGAGGTTTCTCATCCGCGCCGCCGCCGTTGCGTCGCGGCTCCATCCGCCGCACGGCCCGGCCCCATGGGCCGCTCGCGCCGCACCGCGCCGCGCTCCTCAACGGCCACCGCCGCAGCCACCGCCCGCAACGCGCCTGCGCCGAGCGGCGCCGAGCGGCGCCCCTGGCCCTCGGGAAGTGGGAGGGAGAAGCTTCTGAGGCGGCGTCCAATCGGAATCCTTTGCCGAACGGACCGACGGGCGGTCTGGCCAATGAGAAGCAAGGATCTGACAGAGAGCCCGCCTACAGCGTTATTGATAAGTCCAACTGTCCAATACGATACGGGAGCTCGGAACAGGGCGGGGATTAAGGAGGCCGAGAGGGGCGGGACAGTATGCGGCGCATTGGCCTATGGCGTCCCGTGGGAAAGAGTGACGCGGCAGCTAGCCAATGACGTGAGATGTCTGATGGTGGAGGCAGGCTGATTGGCAGGCCGAGTAACCATGGCAACGCAGATGGGTGCTGAGGCCTTGCGCATCCCTTCACAGCCAGGGGACAGTCGGGCATTAATTCGAGACCAAAGAGATAAATGCCTGACAGTCACTATGCCACACAGAGGCTCTGAAACATTAGATTTTCCCTCAGGTTACAAACACAGCACCCTCAAAAGTTTCGTGGAGTGGCAAACAGTTTTTATTACGTATTCCATCCTAGGTATCCCTTTTGCTGATTTCTGTCTTTAAAGTGCTACACGACAGCTAGGAAAATAGAGGCACTTCACAGCAAACACCAAGAAAAACAAATGTTTTATGTGCTAATAAATCAGGTGTGTTTTCATAGGGAGTGCAGGAGCTAAAAAGCACTGGGAAAATACATGAAGAAATCTGCAGGGAGAGAAGAGAGCCTTGGTATGGATGCTGCTGGCTTGAGATCTCCCAAACACCCTCAAAAATGGCACAGAAAGCAGCAGGAGAAGATGTAGGCCTCCTCTTTCTCATGGTGAGAACAGCCCCTGTGCCCCATCTCTGAGAAGAGGATGGAAAGTGCATTTAAAACGCCCCCTCTCATCCACGGATGGGTAAAATGCTGGGCACTGAGCAAGAAGTGAACATCTCGAGTTCGCTCTTGGGCCCTGTCAGAGCAAACTCAACCACCTCACTCTTGCATGTCTTTATTGCCCTTGTCCATTTATAAGGGAGGCATTTTGTGCATTTTGGGGCAAAGGAAAAAGTTGTCAGCCCTACTAAACCGAAGCAGAAGTCCCCCAGCCTACTGTGCTGTGACAGAACCATTTGTAATTTGGAGACCATTTACCCAAGTCAGAAGAGGCTAAATGATCTTATAGGTTGTTTCCAACCTTATGATTCTATGATTCCTCCAGACTAATAGGGTGTTAAGGCAATCAACCAAAAATAAGGCAGAGCTCTGGGAAAACCAGCACTTGGCTCAACAACCTGGGAATATGGGACTGGAAAGAGGTGGGCAGGTGCCTTCCAAAACGCATTTCCTTTGGAATATATAAGAACCCAACTCATGCAAATACTGTGGTCAGAGCAGGTGACATCCAGCACCCCAAGGATACTATTCCATCTAGAAAAGCCTCAGGACACCTCAATTCTGGACACAGAGCCATCAGAGGAGTGCTCCTGGAGCAGCCCTGGAGGAGGAGCAGCCCTTTGTCCCACCACTGGGCTCACTGACCCTCTGCACCATCAGGTCTGTGCTGAGCTCTGGGCACAACAGCCATACCCTGCAGCCAATCCCAGGAAGCTCAGCAGTAGGGACAGGTTTTGGGAAACTGTGCTGAACAGCAGGGATCCAAGGGAAATAAATTATCAAATCAAGGAAAGCAGCAGCTTTCTGGATCAGGAGTACAGCCCAGATCAGGCTTGCAGCTCAGTTGCTGCAGTGATTTAAAGCCCATAGCACCCTGGCCAGCCAGTCACATTCAAGCCATGGTTGTCCATGATACAAGCCTTCTGCTGTGCAGATCTGTCTCCACATCTCTATACTTTTTGCCCAACTTTGCCTCCTGCCATGGCTTCCATTTCCTGCAGCTCACAGGATTGCAGGGCAACCTAAAAGTCCATGCTGGTGCATTTAGAGCTTAAAAAAAATTAATAATCTCTAACTAAAATAATCCACTTTCATACTTTTGTGCCTCTGTCCTTTTGGGAGGGAGCAGGTGAGTGATGGTGAACAGCCCACAGCCATAGCAACAGAGGAAACAGGCAGCGCAGCTTGGGGTGGTTCAACTCTGCCTGGAGTTGGACATGAAGGCAAACAGCAACTAAACAGGATCGCTGCTGCCCCTGAAAGCTGTCCTGAGCTGAGGGAACCAAGGGATGCTTATTTGGGTTTGGGATTTTCTCTTATCTGGAAGTGTTGCGGCCCAATCCCCTCAAACTCTCAAGGTGATCCCTGGGAGCAGTTGGGAAATGATGGACTGAAATTTTAAACAGAATCCTCAAGATAACTCAGAACATGTGGACCACCAGCTAGCACTGATGCATGGCCTCCCTGCATCACACAGAGCTGAACCTATTTATGTCCCAACCTCGACATAAGTTTCTATCTCATTACACCAGGTACTGGGAAATGTGAGAATTACATCCACCCTCCTAGCCAGGCTCACTAAATACAGCCTGTAGATCAAAAGGCACACAGCAATCCTAGGTGAGAGCAAGTCTGGCTCATGCTGGTATTGCATGAAATTGTCTTCTGAAAGCATATGCTTAAATCCTTTCTCCCCCTGTCTGGCGGAAAGGAGAAGTGAGATTGATCCATGAGAAAGCTGCACAAGGGTATACACAACTCCTTCTGGCTCCACTGCTCCATCCCCAGGGGTGTCAGTGCTGTGTGTCAACGTCCTGGATCCTGTGCCATTTCTGACCCACAGGTGCAGGGCACGATACTCCAAAGGAAAGCACTGAAGCAGGATGAGGGCTCCTGGGAGAGGGGACAGCTTGCACACAGTCCAGCCTGGCACATCCTCATCACAGGAACATTTCTTGGCAGGAGAGGGGCCATCCAGAACCAAATGTGAAGATGAGAATGGCCAGGAAGGCTCTGATTTTGGCCTCGAGGGATCACCTCCTGAAAGACACCCTCACTGTGGGTGAAAAAGAAGGCAGCACAGACAGGAAGGTGGTTGGGAATCAGACCAAAACCCAACAGCATCACACAACCAAGGCCTCTTCCAGGAAACTTTCTGGGAAGAGATTTAACAAAGCCCCTACAGTCCCTCTAACTGTTCTTCGGGCTTCAAACATGCTGGCCAACTTCCTGCTACGAAGAGGAATCTCCCTTTGGTAGCTGTGGCATCTCATCTTCTCTCTGCTGCTATTTCTGCAATCGTCTGTATACCAGAAACACCGAAATCAGTGCAATGCCAACAGCTGGGAGGATGTACAGCAGGGATGGCCCATTGCTGTCCCCTGATGCGGGGACTTTGACCTGAGATGAGTTGGTTGCAGCATTACTTCCCTTGTTTGAGTCAGGAGAGCCTTCAAAGGGGACTGCTCCATCTTGGACATCATTGCCTGCTGCCAGCAGGGCACTGAGGTGATGTTCCACATGGACCTCGTGAGTGCCCACAGAAGGGCTGGCCCAGCTCAGGGGTGGATAAGGGCTCACTCCAGCTGCCTCTTCTCCCCCAGGGTCTGCATGAACTGCTGGAGTTGCAGACCAGCGCCCTGAGTTGGCTCTGGACTGTGCTTCTCCAGGCCTCAAGCTGTCTGTGCTCACCATGAGCGGGTCGCTGCTCAAGCCAAGGTGACTGGATGTGTTGGAACTGGGGCTGCCCAGGTATCTGGCAGCTGCCTTTTCTGGGCTCTCTCCTGCTACAGACTGGAGGGCACCTGGCTTACTGAGCTCCACGTCTTCCTCCTCGTTATCATGAGATGCCCAGATGCTGGTAGCAGAGCTCACTCGTGAGGGGGTCTTCCCAGCTGCCCCTTCAAAGCTTCCTGCAGCATTCATAGCTGAGAGGGAGGCCACCGAGGCAGAGAGCACCTTTGGAAGACAAAGAGAGGGGCAGTCTCAGCTGGGTGCTGTGGGGAGCACCCATTCAGCCTGTCTCAGGCACCCACACCACACAACCGAGCACACTTCTCTGTCATTTTCTCCAGCTACTAACAGTGTGGCTGGGCCATGAAACAACAAGGGCAGGGAAAGCAGAAGGGGTAGGAAGGTGTTGAGGCTCCGGGGAGCCTCTAGGATTTGTGAGAGATGCAAGGAGAAAGGGGAGACAAACAGGGACAGAGATGACTGGGGTGGAGATGGGCATCTGGACTGACAGAGCCAGTTCTTTCCCCCATATACCTAAGGGCTCAAGCAGAGCCACAGAATCGTTTGGGGAGACCCCAGGTGAGTTTTGGGATCAGGACCCCACTGGGATCACAATCTGATCTAAATGTTCTTTGCAACACCCACCAGCCAAAGCAGCTCTCCCAGGCATGCTCTGAAATACAACAGGACAGAAAAAGGAACACAGCAAAGAAAAACCCCTAAATAAACCCCCCATCAGCTGAAAATCTCACAGTGCAGCAAAAACCATCCTTGCCACAGGGAGTTCACAAGGACCTGAAGGAAATGCAACCAATAACTGAAAGGTCACCTACTTGCTCCTTCTGTGGCATGGAGGGGGTGCTGCTGGCTGCTTCCTCCCCAGGCAGCATTCTCTCTCGTACAGGAGGCTTCAAGGAGGTGTCACAGAATGGGGAAATATCTCTGGGTGCAGAGGTTGAGACTGAGGTGGCTGTTTCCTTCCAAACATCTGAAGGAGAAAACAAAGCACGCTGCATTAACCAGGAGAACTCAAGGTGAGCCTCTTCTCAAGGGATGCTGCAGTAGGATACATCACTTCCAGGGCAGGTTCTTACCTGCGTTCATGGGTTTTCATCTTTTTCCCTCATCACATCTCTGTGTTAATTTGCACAGAATGGGAACTGCAGCCTGTGCTCAGCACAGAGCAAGTACAAGATGTGGGCAAGGGACTGGAACCACAGAGAAGCTCAGGGCAGTTGAGCTTTCCCAGCAGCAGGTGCAGGTAAAGCAGACAGCACCAGTGCAGCCTGCACCTCAGCACTGCCAGCCTGTTCCTCTCTCTTTGAGACTGGGGTGTTCCCAGCCTGCTGAAACAGGAGGGCATGGACATAGAGCTATGAAGTTTTACATCAGAAACAAAGCAAGCACGTCTGCCAAGTATATGAGGGGAGGAACAGCATCTGGAGAGAAAACTAGGGGAAAAAAAGCAGTCAAGGTAGATGCCTGCACAAACCAGCTTCCCTGCCTTCTTAGAGGAGGTAACTGGGATCTCCTAAGAGACAGGAGCTAACAGCCATTATCAGCACCTTAAGTGACTGCAGAGCAGCACCTCCAGCCCTGCTCCATCTGAACCTGCGGACTACAAAGGAAGGAAACCCACCTCCACCTCCTTCACGCTCTCTCTCAATCTGCTTCTGCTCTACATCAAACTGCTGTTGTATAAGCAAGGGGTGGCGCACATCCACAAAGGTGCTTGGGGGCCCGTCGTGCTTGGAACTGTGCACAGCTTGTTGCTCTTGTGTCCTCACAGAGGCTGGGGGCTGCAGTCCCCCACCGCCAGTGGTCTCCACCAACCTCACAGGCAACTCACTGGAGATGTAGACGTCTTCTTGGGGCTCGTTCCTGGTTTGCTCAGGGCCAGAAGCAGCACTCAAATCCTTTGGTGGAAGAGAGCCCAGATCCAAGTTTGGCACGCCACGTTGGAGGTGGTTTGCGTTCCCAAAACACCCGTTGTCCACACACACCGGATGCCGGTGGCTCAGCCACTCCTGGCCCTGCTCAGGGGACACAGATGGTAAAACTGTGCTGGATGCCCCAGGGGTCTCCACTGCCTCTTGAAGCTCTTTGGTGGGGTATGGGACAGGTTTCTCTTTGCCATCACAGACCGTGCTCGTCATCAGCGGAGGCTGGGGACTCTTTCTTTCTGGGTGCTGGAAGAAAATGAGCTACGTTAAATCACCATGCAGCCCCACTTCAGTTAGGATGAGGGCACATGAGGCCACCAGGGTGTCTCAAAACCAAACCTGGTGACCCATGTGAGCCTGAAGACGAGTTGCACCCACTGAACAGGTCACAGAAGCAGTGGGCTTCATGTGTCAGAGAATATGGAGAGGCTGTAAGGCTGCACTTACATGCATGGAAGGGAGTAGTTACAGCCTTGTATAAATGCTATAAGAGAACAGTTGGCTGCCTCTCACCAGCAGCAGCTGCAAGAGCTCTGTGTGGAAACAGCAGACAAGGTGCCCTCTGCTTCTCCTCATGGGTGAAGCTGCCAGGCACAATGAACACACAGCAGAGGTCAGCAACAAGAGCCTAATTGTGGCATCCAAAACACCAACCCTCCAGTCCAAAAAGGATCTTTGCAGTCCCGTGTGCTCTGCTCACCGATTCCTGCACCGGTGCCCTGGCATCCAGTTCTGTGCTGGAAACATCCGAGCTCACAGCTGAGGTCGCAGTGGTGGCAGCAGCAGGTGAGAGAGGTGGATGGCCACCAGCAGATGGGTTGGAGCGTGGTGGCTCAGCCTTTGGGGTTTCTGCAGCAGAGCTTGGCCCTGAAAATGGCTTCAGGGCACCGTCAGAGGAAACAGCAGGCCAGGCAGCAGAAGCTGAAGCACTTGGAGGAGCCAAGGCAACTGGAGGAGCTGAGGCAGCCCAGGAAAACCAAGGAGACAGAAGATGAGCATGGGCCCAAAGCAGCCCTTTTCATGCCCACGCTCCACCCCCATAATAGCCAAGCCCGCAGTGCCTCTTAATTCATTTTTCCATCTCCCCTTAAGACAAGGAGAACAAGACACACAAGCCACTGTCAGCCCAAGCAGCTTTGGACAAGGAACCCTGCAGACATTCTGCCATCCCTGGGCATGTCACAGGGGCTACACATCTTTGGGGACAAGTCACAGATACCCATGGACTCCTGCACGAGACACAATTGTTGTATACGGACTCCCCACCAAGCACAGGAGCTAGACCCTGAGAGAAACAAGCATCCAAGCATGCTGGGGGGACCCAGGGGTGTTGAGGCCACTTACGGGCTTGGTAGAGGTCATAAACCTGCTGCAGCTCCTCAGCCAGGTGCCCTGCATTGTTCTGGTGCAGTGCGTTGATCAGGTCCATCACCCAGCCCTTTCGGCACTTCAGGTGCTGGTAAAATTTGTACACAGTGGCACGGATCCCCCGCATCTCCTGCCGGGTGTGAAGCTCATCCTGAACAAAACACATTGAGAAGCACAGGCTGCCTTAGAAACAGAATCACGAAATGGCTTGGGTTGTAAGGGAGCCTAAAGATCAGTCAGTTGCAACTGCTGCCGAGGGCAGGGACATTTTCCACTGCTCAAAGCTCCATCCAGGCCAGCCTTGAGCACCTCCAGGGATGAGGCACCCACAGCTTCTCTGGCAGACTGTGACAGGGCCTCATCACGTTAACAGCGAGGAATTTCTTCCTAATATCTAATCAAAATCTCTTCTAGTTTAAAGCAGTCTTTATCTTATCTCCACATTCCCTGATAAAGAGTTCCTCCCCAGCCTTCCTGTAGGCCCCTTTATGTCCTGGAAGGCTGCAGTGAGGTCTCTCTGTAGCCTTCCCTTCTGCAGGCTGAACACTCCCAGCTATCTGCCTGTCTCCACAGCAGAGTTCATAGAATCACAGAACCACAGAATGGCCTGGGTTGAAAAGGACTACAATGATGATGTAGTTTCAACCCCCTGCTCCGTGCAGGGGTCACCAACCAGCAGACCAGGCTGCCACATCCAGCCTGGCCTTGAATGCCTGCAGGGATGGAGCATCCACAGCCTCCTTGGGCAACCTGTTCCAGTGCCTCACCACCCTCTGAGTTGCTGCAACCTCTGAGCACCCTCATGACCCCATCCCAACTCACTCCAGCAACTCCGCATCTTTGTGCTGGGGGGCTGAGAGCTGAACACAGCACTGCAGATGGGGGCTCAGGCAGCAGAGCAGAGGGGACAATTCCCTCCCTCACCACTCTGGGCACACGTAAAGCAGCTGTACACCAACCCACATCATACAAACATTGGGTAGAGTGCCCACACAGCCCAGCAGCACTCAGAGCAACGGAGAATTTACCCTGTCAGCATCGGTGAGGCAGCTCAGGGAATCGACCAGCGACGCCACGTGGATGTCACAGAACCTGCTCATGTTCTTCAAGATGTGGTTGTACACTTTGTCCTCAGCAAAACCCATCGTGGCTCAGTGCCTGCAGGGACAAGGACTGAAGGTGAGCGGAGCTCAGGAGCAGAGCTGCTGTTTGCCTCTTCTCTTAGCAAGCTGGGCTGTCAACAGCAGGAAGGGCAGTCGTTGGGCTGGGGAAAGAGCACAGGGGAAATCTCACATGAAATACACATAAAATATGGATAAATGGGCAGGGTTAAGGTTTAACTCTTGGCAGAACTTCGTTTTTCCTTCATGTTGGACCCACGGCCCTGTGTTTGCACAGCTGGCTGCACTCAGGTGATTCTTTTTATCTTCAAAACGCTTTCTTTTTCCCCCCTCAATAACATTGAAACTTTCTCAAATCCAACGGAAAGAGGAAGAGAAAGCGGGCGCAGCGCCCGGCCCCAAGGCGGCAGCTTCCAAAATCCCACGGACACGAAGGAAAAGACAGATCAGGCCTCCTAACCCGGATCCCAGCCCCGGTCCACGACCTTCTCCCGGTCTCCGTCCTTCTCCCTGCCCTTATCCCGTGCCCGGCCCCACCTGCGTCGCCGCCACCTCCGCCCGTCCCGGGTCAGCGCCGAGCCCCGCCCACCACCTCGTGCACGCTTCTCATTGGTCACCGCGCCCGTCCGTCCCCGACGGAAGGGCGGTGATAGGCGGAGCCCTGGGAGGAGACACAGGCCTGGCCCGGGCCTTGGGGCCCTAATGTGGCTCGGAGCGCCCTAAACTCGAGAGTCTGGACAGGTTTAATGTTCATAGTGCTGTGTTATCATCAGCTATAAATTCCTGACGCCCCGAATCGTTCTTTGCCACCACAAATCACGGAATCACGTCATAGAATCATACCACAGAATGGCCAGGCTTGGAAGGGACCTCAAAGATCATGAAGCTCCAACCCCCCACCACAGGCAGGGCCACCAACCTCCACCTTTAATACCAGCCCAGGCTGCCCAGGGCCCCATCCAACCTGGCCTTGAACACCTCCAGGGATGGATGGGGCATCACAGCCTCTCTGGGCAGCTGTTCCAGCACCTCACCGCTCTCTCTGAAGAACTTCCCCCTGACATCCAACCTCAATCTTCCCTCCTCAACTTCAAACCATTTCCCCTCGTCCTGCTGTTATCTGCCCTTTCACAGTGTTGACTCCCCTCCTGTCTGTAGGCTCCCTTTAGGTACTGTAGGCTGCAATGAGGTCACCCCGCAGCCTTCTTTTCTCCATGCTGAACAAGCCCAGCTCCCTCAGCCTGTCTTCATCTGTCTTCTCCAGCCCTCTGATCATCTTTGTAGCCCTCCCCTGCACCCTCTCCAACAGCTCTCTGTCTTTCTTGTATTGGGAGCCCCAGGCTGTCCCTGGGTACAGTACCAAGGGTGCTGCAGATGGGGCCTCACAAGAGCAGAGTAGAGGAGACAATCACCTCCCTGTCCCTGCTGGCCACCTCTCTTCTGATGGAGCCCAGGATCCCATTTGCTTTCCAAGCTTCAAGAGCACACTGCTGGCTCATGTTCAGCTTTTCATCCATCAGGACCCCCAGGTCCTTCTCTGCAGGGCTGCTCTCAAGGGCCGCTCCTTCCTGTCTGTATGGATGCCTGGGATTTCTCCGGCCCAAGTGCCAAACCTTGCACTTTGCTGTGTTGAACCTCATTAGATTCACTCGGGCCCACATTTCAAGTTTGTTGAGGTCCCTCTGAATGGCATCCCTTCCTTCCACTGCGTCAACAACAACAACCAGAAAAAAAAAAGTCCAAATTCAGAGTCACACGTTTTCCCCAAAAGCCGTGACTTTGAGCAAGGAGAACTGCTTCACAACTCCGGGCACAAGCCGGCAGATGGCAGCAGTGTGATATGAATACAAACACGAAACGTGGATTCTCCTTCTCTGTGGATATTCCTAAATCCATCTGGAAGCTTTCGTGTGTTACCTGATATAGGGAAGCTGCTTTAGCAAGAGGTTGGATATCCAGAGGTCCCTTCCAACTCCTGTGATTCTTTAATATCCCCGTGTCATGAGGACAGGGTCCTGGAGGAGAACACTGAGCCCTCAAAGACCCAAGCTAAAACCCAGGTTTCAAACAGAGCGGGAGAATGCTGATGGAATGAGCAGAGCACAGCACATCCTGGTTGGGTCAGGTTGATGTCATTTTGTGTTGAAATAAAGGTAAAAGCTCAGCAGAAAATATTTCTCTGCCCCATAAGCAGTTTGTGAGATTGGCACCAAGCTCAGGTGGTGACTTCTGTTGCACCCACTCAGCAATCCCCATAGTGCTGCTGTATGCACCTTCATGAGCTTCCAGCTCATGACTGGGGATTTATGTGCTAAAATGGGTGGAACGTTCTATATTTAAAGGGGGCTATGAGAAGAAAGGTGGCAGAACTTCAGCAGGGTCTGTTGTGGTAGGACATGGGGAAATGGTTTCTATCTAAAAGAGGGAAGATTTAAATTGGACATAAGGAAAATGTTTTTTTACGCTAAGGGTAGCAAAGCACTGGCAAAGATTTCCCAGAAAGGTGGTGGGTGCCTCAGCCCTGCAGACACCCAAGGTAAGGCAGGATGGGGATGTGAGCACTGATGGAGCTGTGGGCATCCCTGTTCAGTGCAGGGAGTGGGACCAGATGGCCTGCAAGGGTCCCTTCCAACTCAAACCACTCTATGATTCTACCCTATTAATTAGGCGTTCCCATCCCTTCTCCGGCTTTCGGTGTGAGCAGGAGCCCTATCCCCAGCTGAGCTCGCTGCAAGCCGTGCTTTCAGCACATGGAACCCGCCTGGAAAGGACCACAGCACTACGGGATCGCCTGCCAAACTCTCGCCCCGCCCACTACCGGCCGTAGCCCCGCCCATTAACCCATCCTATTGGCACTGCCTGTTGACCCCGCCCATTGATCCCTCCCATTGGTCCTGCCATTGGTCCCACCCATTGGTCCTGCCCATCTGTCCCGCCCATCGGTCCCGCCCATTGGTCCCGCCCATTAGCCCCGCCCATTGCCCGTAGCCCCGCCCCCACTATCCCCGCCCCTCGTCCCGCCCCGCCCCTGTCAGCGGTGCGCGCCCTGCATGGAGCCGCACCATGGCGGCGGCGGCGGCGGCGGGAGCGGGAGCGGGCGGGCGGCAGCGGGGGCGCCGCTGATGGCCGGCAGCCCCGCGGCGGGGCGCTGAGAGGCGGCGTTGGACAGCGCCGGGCCCCGCACCAAACCCCCTGCGGCCGCGTCCCTTCCCTCCGTCCATGCTCCCGGCCGTCGCGGCCTCGCAGCGGAGCCGTTGGGCGGCGGCGAGAGAGGCGGGGAGAGAGGGAGAGAGCAGCGGGCCCGGCCCCGCGCCCGCAGGTGAGCAGCAGCGGCGGCGGGGGGGGGGGTTCCGCGAGTGGATCCTTTTCCCTTCTTTCCGTGCGGTGGAGCTCGGCCTCATCGTTCCGGGCTCCTGGGTTCGCTTAAAGGAAGCCCCCAAACTTTTTTTTTTGGGGGGGGGTCGGTAGCGATAAGTCGAGAGGCGACGGCCTTAAGTTGGGCATTTGGGGGTTGGTTGGGTTGCGGGGATCGTTTCTCCTCGTTTCTCCTCCGAAAGAGCTGTGATGCATTGGAGTGGATCGGGCAGGGAAACAGTGAGCGTCCCTGGAGGTGTTGGAGAAAAGGGGCAGACGTTGGTTGGGTCCGACGATGGCAAAGCTCCATCCCAACCTTCACGACCACGCTGTGCTGCTCTCCTCCCGGCCAACCTTTGCTCGTCTTTCCCCTCCCACGCCATCGAGAATGAAGAACACGACAAGAAGGAAGGCAGGCTTTTTAATTATTATCATTAATATCTTTTCCTCTCGCTAAACACCTCCTGTTAAGATCCGGAGGCATCCCAGCCCCGTGTCAGGGCTGTATGAGGAAAAATGAGAGCTGCGAGGTTCCAGCTGGGCCGTTTCGTAAGGAGGAGGGATGGGGTTCTGAGAGCCTCAGGAATTTACTCGGGGCGTTTGCAGAGCGTTTCTCTGTGCAGCTCAAATATTACTCATCCCCTCTGTGCCCGTGGTTGGTGGGAAGCTCGCTGTGTGCCTTGAAGAGGTTTGGAGGTTTGCTTTCTGGACTGGCTGGAAAAGAAACGGGCGTTGCTGTGCTCTGTCCTTTGGGGTGGGGATATCCTGGAGGGGCTTTGGAGGGGGTGTTCCAGAGTTTCTGCTCGGTGTTAGTTAGAGAAAAGAGATGTTTCCAGGGACACCGCTGTCCTGGCATTGATCTGGCTGTATTGTTTTCGAGCTAATAGGATACATGGCTCTGCTTTTCTGAAATGTCACCCTCACATAACTGATGCTTTGTGCAGCTCTGTGCCGTTGGGTCACGTCCAACGTTAACATCCTCATGGAAGAGCGTTCTGAAATCCTTCTCTCCGTGTCTCCGCTGTCTGTTCCTCTCAGACCCTCTTTGCTGGGGGATTTTGGAGGCTGAGCTCTTCAGCAGGAGGGGGATCCCAGGTCAGCAGGACGGTATGCATGGACTGAGCCATGTCAGCCACTTTGCTTTGCATGCAAAGTGCTGGGCGATGGCTGTGCAGCGAGCGTGGGAGCTGCAGGGTTTTGTATGCTGCTCGTCTCCCAGATAGGTTTGAAACCCCACGGAGTCACTATGGAATCGCTACAGTTCAATGCAGTGCTGGCAGAATACCTTTATTTTTCTATTTTTCTCCCCATGGTAACACTTTGTTCATGCTTTCTGGCCAAAACGTGGTGCCCGTATGCTTCGGCAGAGCCGCAGACAGTAGAGCAGATGCACCAGCTCCTGGCTGACACCTCCGTGTTGGTGCTGGATGGGAGGGAGGTTGGCCTTTATGGCCATTTTCTGGTCTCATTCACAAATCAGGTTTTCCTCTTAAAATAAACCAAATGCCTCTCTTTCCTGTTGCGGTGGAAATCATTTGAATGTGACCAGGTACACAGGCATCTCGGAAGCCTGCGGACAGGAAGAAGCACTAGAGCTAAGAGGTAGGAAATGTCTCTGTTTATGGCAGGGGGCTGATTCATCTCTCTGCTCTTAACTCCTTCCCTGCTGCTAGGCTGTTTTTGGGGCCATCCCATTTCGCTGCGAGGCTCAGGGAGTATCACCAGATACCAGCCTTGTTCTCTAATTGGGTCACAAAATATTTCTGCTGCCTTGCACTGGGGTTTGTGTGTTGGATTTATGTGGTTAGGGATGGAAAAGGGATTGCATGCTGTGAGCATTTCATACCTGAGCTGGATAACCAGAACATCGGCAGCCACATTAGGAAGGATTAATATTTAATATATGGGGTATGTGCCATTGTGTTTAATCACTTTATGCAGGGATTAGGAAGAGATTTCCTGATAAGTAAACGGTTCTCTGGCTGTCTGGAGTGATTTCTTGCATCTTCCTCAGGAACAGCTGCTCCCAGGTATTGCGAGCGCCTGGTCTGAACCAGCTGTGCTTTCTATTTCTCTGACAGAGAATGGCTTTCTTTC